TACAACAGAAAACAGGGATTTGCAGATGAGGAAAAGTGTTGCTTTTATAAAAGCAGATCTCCCTCTCAACTCAGACCCAGAGTGATTAGCCAGTTCTATTGACTGGAGCTTTCCTGTCCCAGCTGGTAAATGTGTTACATTGCCCTCTGTCGCTTGTCCTGCATTTCTCCCACCAAGGAAGATCTAGTCTAAAAGGATGAGGAAAGTTTCACTACTCCTGATAGACAGCAAAGACTCTCTGCTCACTCCTTCTGCAGATATCTTTGTGTTTGGAGAAAGCTAAAAATCCTCATCTGGTATTTAAGGTTCAAATCTGGGAGAAGTATAATCCTGAGAAAGAAGAAACATTCATCAATATTTAAGGTGGGAAAGCTCATTTCAATTTCCTGTTCTGCTGAACTTCTCAGGGCACATTGGAAAGCAACTTAAAGCCGATTACACACAGCTGAAATAAAGCTGGCACCGGCCCTTTGCTTCTGCTCTTGCTCTTCAGTCAGGAAGACTATGATAGCCAGAGCTTTTGGACAAGCACAGAAACCCTTCCCAATCTGAAAGTGACTCAGTCAAATTGAAAAGTTGCTCAGACACTTAAAATGGTCCGTTCTGCACAAAGTTGTAGAGATTTTTTTGTGTTTCCTTGTTATACTAGCATCTAGTGATGGATGGCGCATCTCAAAATAATTTCAACTCTTAGAAATTTGTGCTGCAATTTTGCATAAGGAGGAGGAGTTTTGGACACCTGAGCCTTCTTACAGAAATCTGATTTCCATCATGGTTTTAAGGGGCTCCTGAATAAAGCCAGCTTCTTCCTTCTTTTTTCTTAGACTAGGAGTCATGTACCTCTATGATGAGCCAGTCTAGGGTCAAAAACTAATTCCCCCCCTCAACATTTTATTTAATCATTATTTACAGAAATAAGATAATGTACATGTTTAAAATTACATAGAAACTATGTCTTGGATATATATATCAACACTTGATCTTATATTTAACTATTTAATTTATGGAAATAGAAATTTTAAAAGGATGAAACAGTCTATCAGAAAATTAATATATTGAAATATGCTTTATGTCTTTTTAGAGACAAGAATATTTATAAAAAGCGGGATTTATACTAAAAATATCCACTTACCACATACAAAAATTTCTGATATATCACTTCAATTTTCACACATATGCATCACATCATTTAACTCCAGTGATTATTGTTTATATCCTTACAGCTCAGAGTGCTGCTGGCCTAGATATAAGGGTGGGGATTATTCTCAAGCAGTACAAAGTAAATGCTGATTACCTCAATCTGCCAATTTTTTTTTCTGGAAATGTTATACTGCAGAATGTATTCCAGATCAGAATTATGTATTAAGTTCTGTTTTGCATTACTTGATTATGTCCATGACAGAAAATGATTACTGGGACCTCCCTAGTGGCTACAAATTGGAGGTATTGTTTTTGAGTAATTTATTTTGTCTGAAGGATGGTGTAACTTTGTCATATAGATGATTCTTTTAAGCACAATTTTAAAGGAAGCATTCAATCTGGTGTTTTTCAGTCTGGATAATGACTTGAGGCCTCGGCTTAACCTCTCCTGTGTTTCTACTACCTCTAAACTCTTAAGAAATGGTTATGAAATGTCACATACCTACCCTGCTATTCAATTTGTGCTCACAGAGGAAGTCATTCCAGTCTCACAAAAGAATTCTGAAACATCATTTATCAGCCTGTGCAGAGTTTTGAGATCCTTGGCAAAGGGGATAATAGGATTGTAAGGTCCTTTGTTTGTTTTTAAGATTTTTTAAATATCAAAATAGGGATCGAATTCTATTTATATATTGCAGCAAATATAGCACAAAAGAAATAAAGCCTTTTAAGTAAAATATTTGATTTATACTTTGAAAGTAACAATTTGGAGACCTGCTGCCTTCCTGTGGACTATTTCAAGTCCTATTCAAACCAAGGGCATGGCTCCCCACCTTCCAGGGTGCTTGCATCAGGACTCAGGGGAGTCTCACAAACCCTGGTGACATGATGGATGCTGCATATCACTTAGAGTTAACTGAAATTCAATAATGAATGACAGCATTCAATGCCATACCAGAAATAATAATGCAGAAGGGAAGAAAGGTTCCCTGCTGACTGTGCACCTGAGGGGGCTCAAACACACTTTTTCCAACCACCTAGAGCTAACACATTTGAGCTATGCTTGCATGTAGCCCAACAAAACAATAACAGCCCAGCAATACCACAGCTTTCTCCCCAAATACTTTCCAGTTCACCAGCAGCACAGGCTGTAAGTATGTGAGCCTACCAGAAAAACCCTTCTCTCTGTTAGTAATTATATTGCCTCTGATTTTTCATGTTGCCACACAGTTTGTCCCTGTACTCAGCTTTCCTGTGATTTGGGATGCCTCACAGGCCTGTCCAACTTGTTTAAATGGGTATGAGGGGTTATTTAAAATTTTTAATCTGAAGCATGACTTCAATGCATGAAGCTATGGTAAATCTCAAAGAACATAATGGGTAATTGTGATTAGAGCCTAAAAACTAGCACATTTTCCTTGGGAAAATCTATGAGCACAAGCTCAGCATAAATACATAGCTACCCTGTGTGGCCTTTGAGAAGTGACAATCTGCTATCACAGCAACAAGGAGCCACTGTGACTGCTCTCCTTAATGAATGTGGTTTTTAAATTTTTTGATGCAACTTACATATGAAAATTAGATTATAGCTTCAGTATTATTATTACTGGAAGTGTGTTTTGAAAAGGAATGGCATGAATACCTGTGGAAAAAAATAATTCTGCTTGGATTACATAAAGTGTTTCATATAAGAATAAATCATGAAGACTTCACTTTCAGTGATTCTTTTTCTCCTTCCATTTTGATATCTGTGAAGTCACTTTTTCTTAGGACAAGTAGCTAAAACAAGTAGCTAGTTTCCTTTACTGTGAGGGTTGATTCTGCATCTAGTATCAGTTGTTAATTCCTAATGTGTGGGACTTACAGGCAGATCCAAAGAAGACTTTGGATCGACCATAGATACCTAACTGAGAGTGAACAGAGCACATTTTCACATCAGTACATGGAGAGATGAGGGCCTTGTGTCTTAGACACAGCCAGTGTTAGATGGCTGCTGAAAGAGTGTTTTTCAGATTTCAGCTTTTGCTCCTCTGTCCTTATCTTTGTCGTTTTCCATAGTTTGGGCTGTCATTTTACACGTTATTCTAAAACAAAGACATTGAGCTCTCTCTCTTCTCAGTCTTACTCCAAGTTACAAAATATCTCTAAGTTGGAAGGAGCAAATTGTCTTGATTGCCCAAGTTTTTTCCTTCCTTTTTCTGTTTTTCATCCTCTACTGTGGAGTCATTAAACCATGAAAGGAGAAGGAAACAAGGACACCACCAATTGCAAACTGCAACAATTAGGAAGCAGGAACACCCCAATTCAATAGGTAACCTAAGAATTTTTTTCTTATTTTTTTCCTACTTCTCCTTCCCTCCTATTTCCCTCTCCTCCCTCCTTGCCCCCCCCTCCCTCTGTCCCCTTACATGTCTGTGCATCCTATTTCACATGTTCATGTTGGGACTGGTATTGATTCAGGACCAAACTTCATCAGAATAATTTCAGTTAAACACAATAAGCAGGCCAGTGACATTAAGAGAGGATAATTAAGATGGTGCTTTGGGCAGTTTAGAGATTGAAAGGAAAGGAGATAGGTGAGGATTGGTTTAAAATGCAAGAAAAGGGCTGAAATATTATTGCCAGCGTTATTTAATTATTTCCGAGTTAACAATGCAAAATGAGGGTACACTAAATATAAACCCTTATCTTTAATTATTAAGCCTGTCCTGTTCTACTTGTACTGGAAAACCTGAAATCAGTGGGAATGAATCCCAGCAGCGATCCAGTTACTATCAGAGAAGGACTGCATATACGAAAGGAGGGCAGCGTGCTTTAAAAGATAATACAACAGAAAGTAATGCAATTTGAGGCGGAAAAAGGGAAAAAAATACAAGCGAGGTTTGTTTCCTTGTCTGCCTTCATCCTGAGCTCACATTAAACGATAGACTTTTCTTCTCTCTGCATTCCAATTAGACTGTGCCAGTGGGCAAGCGGGGAAGGGAATGTTAATGAGGCAGCGGGAGCGGGCTGGGAGCCGGGGCTGGCGGCTCCCGCTCCCGCCGCAGTCCGGGGCAGCGCGGCGGCTCCGGGGCTGTGCCCCGCCTAACGCGCGCTTGGCCCGAGGTGACCGAGGCTGAGGAGGGAGGGCTACGGAAAATGTCTTGTACCGCTCCGGGGACCGCTTTCCGCCCCGTTTCTCGTTCGCGCACCGGCAACGCTGCCGCGCCCGCCCGCTCCGGGCTCCGAGGCCGCGGCAGCCGCCCCGGGCCGGTGCCGGTGCCGATGCCCCCCGGCGGGGACCCCGCGCCCGCCGTGTCCCGTGAGGGCCGAGCCGCGGGGGCGGCGGGCGCGGCCCCGTGACGGCCACCAGGGCAGCCCCGCGCCCCGGCACGAGCGGGCACGCGCGCGCGCCCCCGCCGCTCGGTCCCCGCTCGGTCCCGGCCGCGCTCGGTCCCGGCCGCGCCCGCCGCCGCCGCCCCGCGCTCCCCGCCGCTCCCCGCCGCCGCCTGCCCCGCTCGCCGGCGGCACCCGCCTCCCCTCCCTCCCGCTTCCCTCCCTCCCTCTCCCCTCCCTCCCCGCCTCGGCCGCCAGCCCGCCCGCCCGCCCGCTGCTCCCAGGTAGGGTCCCCGGGGGTCCCCAGCTGCGGCGGCAGCGCCCGCCCGTGTCGGGGGCTCTGCTGCGCTCCGCAACTTGTCAGCCGGCGGGGCTGCCCCCGCCGCCGCCCCGCGCCCCCCGCGCTCCCCGGCGGCGCTCCGCCGAGCAGCTGTCAAACGTGCCGGGCGCTCGGCGGCGGCGGGGGGCGGCTCGCCCGCGCTCGGTCCCCGCACCGAGCCCCGGCGAATGGCATGACTCTGCCTGCCGCCCGCCCCCCCGCCCCCCCGGCTGCGGTGTGCCGTAGTGAGGCGAGGGGTGGTTAAACCCCCATCCTCCCATACATACGGCTTTTATTTTTTGTTCCTTTTCGTCTCGGGGCTTTCACATCACGGAACAGGAAAGCATCTGATGCGCCGGCTCACATGCCACTTCTGATCATACATTGCCTCCTTGCACAGAGCAGGATCGTTGGGAAAGATGGAGATACAATAAGTTGCTAGTACCGAAAAGTGCTGCGGAAATCCAGTGGTTTCCTTTCTACAGTGAAGTGACATATTTTCCTCGGGTTTAAGTTGAAAGCACTGCTTGGCGGAGACTGACTGTGGCTGAGAGTGGGTTTGTGTTTTTCTTGCACCGTTAGGTTTTGCAAAGAGCAGCGATGAAGAAGAAGCTGGCACTCTCCGAGATGCAGTTGGTTCTTCTCGTTTTATTGGTGTGGCTACCAACGAGGTGAGAGGATATTTAGTTTCGTTGTTCAGTGCGAACATGCATGTTACAATCTGCTAAGGGTAAGCTTGTGTGAGGGGCTATAAAAGTACAGTATGTAGCAACGTAATAAAAAAATCTTTCTTAGGTGTTTGAATGCAGTATTACATAGTTTCCAGAGCAAATGCAGTAGAATGTAGTTTAAGGACCATAAAAGCCTGATCTCTTGTCCTTAAACGGTTTGTGAATTGATGCTTTATTCCACCATTAAAATAACAATTTCTTTAAATGCCTTTTTGGATCTTAAAGACTTGAGTTACTTCATGACTGTGATTCTGTACCATACAAAATGGGGAAATAGATTTTTATGAAGTCTCACTGCAAATCACTGTTCTTAAAATAATGCTCATATATTTATTAATATGGCCATGCCTTTTTTTTTTCCCTTGATTTTTTTTTTTTTTTTTGGTCAAACATAATAGAATTCAAAATGATGCTTAAGCCTAAAACCTCTAGGTGGAGATAGCATACAACTTCACAATCACATATAATAAAACAATAGCATCATTTATTAATCAACTTTTCTTATGTTGTGTAAAGTTCTCAATTTCTAAAGCGACAGCATAAGAGCAAGTAATTTTTACTACATTATACTTTTGTGTTGCTCACAGTCCCTAAACACAATAATTAATTGTAGTTTGTAACTTTGATTCACTTGCTTTGGTTGTGGCTGCAGTAGGTCTTGTCCTAATATGGTAAAGATTGGATGCTATATAATGCAAGTTTCCTATGATTTAACATGTCTCCAATATTTTTGTTTGTTTCCCAGTGAACAAAATATTTTCCGAAACAATATTTTCTATTTCACTTTATACCTAACTATGGTGCAGTAATAGTTGAGTCACAGTGGGCCAGATCCTGCAAACCCTACTCAAGTGAGTAATCTCACTGACGTCAAAGAGACTATAAGCGTTATTAAAGACTTTATGCCTGAGTAAAGTTTGCAAGATTCGACACTGATTTGATGTAATTATATTGATCTAATATTTTTAGTGGAATTTTGAGTTCAAAAACTGTTATATCTCAAAAAGAAGCTTAAAAATGGCAGAGATGTACTCTGGTAGTCCATGAGTACAACGATGCATTTTACAAACCGAGAAGGAACCATCCAGTAATTGCAACTAAGAAAAAACTGACCCATGAGTAAAATCACACACGACATTTTCATGGGTTCTTTATAAGTTATCTGATTTGGGTCGATTCTATGGTTTATATGATGGAAAGCACAGACTGCAATGATTTACATTTAAATACTTCTTTATGCCATTGAGCTGGAGACCAACATACAGCCTTGTCTTTAATCCTTTTATAGCTTTCTTTAGAGAAAATATCACCCAAATCTACTTTTGGTTTGGAGGAGGAAGAAAACAATGCTTGCTATTATGGCATTCAGAATACCTTCATTTCAAGATGATTGATACTCAAACATTTAGGGTTAAAAATTTAGGTACCTGAAAAAGATATAAATGGTAATGTGCGTAGCACATGATGCTTTACTTCCTTGATACCAATGTGCTGGTTTTAAGTAGTTAAGACTGATGAGCTCCTGTATTTCACATGCATGGTGCTTAAAATTGTTGGCACGGTAACATTTGCATGTGTAAGGCTTTCTGTGGTCTGGGTGCCCAGGTTCCAGACCACTGTGGGGCACCACAGCTGGCTGGGCAGCAGGTTCATATTCCAGCCCCTATAGCGTGTCCCACAGAGATTTGATCCATAAAGGCTGTAATGTCTCTTTCTTTATTGGGGAACTTTGAAACCGTCAGTGGTCTACAGATTCTTCTTGACACTTCATTTGTGATTCCTTTTTCCATCCAACATTTATAAGGTTTGTCTGCATCTGATGGAGTATCAGACAGCTGACAGTGTCCACAGCTACCCTGCAGCTTGCTAGTCAGCGCTGGTGTTCCCTCCCACCACCTGCTGGCGTCAGAGGACTCCCTGAGCATGATCGCTGGAGTTTTCCCTCATGTTAGTTCTTCTGGTCATGTACATTACATGACCATTGGGTGGAGGCAAATCCACAGGATTTATCCAGAGATAGAGTATGCCTAAGTGAGGACAGATAAGATAGAGCTAGAAGGAGATGGGTTTGTGCATGGGAACCCGGGTTATCAGCCCAGGAGTGACATGCCACCAAAGCCTGGGAGGCTCTTCAGAGTTTTGCACCAGTGCAGCCTCCACTAACAGTGTTTGGGGAGCTGGAAGCAGCAGTCACAGTAATGCAATGATGCATGCAAGTACAGACTACTGGAAAATGACTTCTTGGGTATTTTAAGTAGTATTCTGTTGACCCTTATATGTCTGAACTTGTTATATAGAAATTCTGTTTTTGCATACTGTAAATAATCCTTTCCTGTTGGAATGCAGCAAGTAATGGCCAGTCCGAAAAAAATGCATGTTGAGTGTATGTTAAAACATACTTAGCACCTTCTAAAATGTAAAATATCCATTTAGATCGGTGCTGGCTGACTCCCTGGAAGACGAAGCTAAGAATAACATCACCATCTTTACAAGAATTCTAGACAGACTTCTGGATGGTTATGATAATCGCCTCAGACCTGGATTAGGAGGTAATACAACCAATTAAAGATTGATTTTAAAAAATCAATTTTAATGTTCAGATTTTATGCAGTGATATTCTTCCTTCAGGGTTTTTTTTCCCCTAACAACTGGTATGCATCTTGATAAATTATTTATAACTACATTCACCCAGATGAATCATTTGAAGTTTGAGGAAGATAACATCTATGAATGGAAAGAAGGCATTTTCACACATTTATCTTAAGTAAAAAGGAAAAATCTGGTGTTTTAACATAGTAAAACAGAATGTGAACAAAAATAACATCTAAAGCTGTTATTCCAGTCAGGGAATTTTGGTTGAACAAGGAATCCAGGCTTAATTCCCTGCAATCTGATAGGGGCATGTTTTCAGAAATCTGCACAAGTGTTTTGTGCGATGCGTATAAATTTCACATTTGAGATTCGTTCCTTGGCCCAGTAAATTCAGTGAAAATGTTGTGATTTTGACTTCTTTGGAATTGGGGTGTCACTGGTAATATACATTTAATTTCTGGGCACCTTGCACTTATTTGAGCATTTGGAAAAAAAAATAGAGAAAAAGAGAATATTGAAGGACAGAGGTCTCTGCACTCTTGTGCCATGACTGTCAGTTATTTTTCAAAATGTCAGTTCACATTTTGATTTTAAAGCTGTATGCCATCTTTTGTCAGTATGTGTTATATTGGCAAGAAATTTAAATAATTTTTGTGGTGTTGAAAATATTACTGTGTACAGAAAAATATCTATGACATAGGGAGGGGCTGAATATCTCAGTTTTGACAATATTTTGTCTACTGCTATTGTTTATCTGTATTTATACTATCTAACATTAACATGTATGATTCAAATATACACTTCTACTGCCATTATTTTTATTTGTAACAGTTTTGGTAATTGTAATTTTCAACGGGGAGACTGTTTCAGCTTGGTGAAGCTAATTCCAGTACAAAATCCTTGGGAGCCATTCCTGTTCCTGTTGATTTCAGGAAGATCAGGCCCAAAGCTAGAGACACACTCCAACTTCCATGGAAATTACAATAACAGCTCTGATCAAATTAGGCATTAGCTAAAGCTCAGAGTTTTTATCCAACACTATTCCATCCTGACCTGTGGCTCTGTTGCTGTTCTGGTCCTGGGGAACTGTGGCTTGAATCTGACACAGCAGAAAGTGGGAGCTGACGCTGACTGAAACAGATTTCTCACTATGCGTTGCTTTTAAACTAGGATGTCTTTTCATTTCCATTTTTGGCCTCTGTACAGTGAAAGCTTGTGAAATATTTTATATTCAAAGATTTCTTAATTTGGATGATACAGGGGACCCATAGCACTGTTGATGCCAGAATTTATATAGTAATTTTTTTACGTGGAGTTTTGATTTCTGTTCAAAATACTCAAATTTAAGAATTTACGCATAGTATAAACATACAATGACTTGCAGAAACATTTCATATCACCAAACTCGTGTTGAATTGAGAGGGCTTTTAAAATAATGCCTTTTATTAGAAAAATAGTCAAAGGTTTCTTGCTTACAAGGGATGAGCCATTTAATGAGAACAGTCTGCAGTTCCTTTGCATATCAAGCATTTTTTTTAATATTGAAATAATATTTTTGAGAACATGAAATACAGATCTAATGGATTTTTCTATTTTTCACTAAATTTGCTTCAAAATAACCTCCCCCTTTTTCTTTATAAAGCCTCATAGATAATTAAAACATACTCTGAAAACAAAAAATTAAAGAATTAACATCTGTTTGATATTGGTATACATGGCAATCAACCCATGCAGAATATGTGTGAAATGAAACTGTGTCATGCATATTAAACCGTGGTGATTCATGACACATTACTCTTAATCCTCAAGAATACTTCAGTTGTGGATGGATGGATTCTTACAGTTTAAAAGAACACTTGTAAATGGCAGTTGTGATAATTCATGATACAAAACATACCAAACAAGGCTTTTGTACATAGTGCTTAGTAATTATCTAGCTTCATATTTCAGGAATTTTCTAGCAGTTTATTCCTTTTTCTATACTGACCTGTAGTCTGAAAAGAGATGTGGAAATAATTAACCTTCTTTTTTTTAACACTATGTGCCTAGTAAGCCTGGGAATTTCTAAAAGTGTTTTTGCAAGAGATTACTGCATTCTGACCATACCACACATCATTAATTTAAGATACCTAGTCTCAGTTTTGTTTCACTTCCCTTTGTATGAATCTGAAATAGCTCATTTGAATGCAGCAGAATGTTTACTTTGGCATAGCAGTTTGCATTGTCGTGCATATATCACTGCTATGACTGGGATCACAATCTGGCCTAACATGCTACAACAGAAATAGTCCAGGGTCTGAGATCCTTCTGAAGTCGTCTGAAAGCAAGAGCTGTTCATCAGCCCACTTTCACTTGCTGTGAAAGACATTTTCAGAGATGTCTTACAGCAAGAATTTAGCTCATTGTAAAAAACTGCTCCTTTAGTAATGAAATGTTTTGGGTTGATATTACCATTTTATCCAGTTATTGACCAACAAAAGGGAAATGTACAGGCTTCTTGAAAGTCTGTATATTAAATTCAGCTAAATAAATGTCTGATTTGGAGGTTGTTCTTGAATTAAGGGATAGATTTGTAATTCATTTTACTGGGACACAGTCTGACTACTGACAGTATGTAACTTGATGCTTTACTGATGCAATTCAAAACAGAGTACTATTTTCTATAAGCTGTTGAGGAAGGTTTAACTTTTACTGGTGGTACACCTCGGTCAGATAAACAGGTTTTGGCTGTTGGCTGTTGGCTATCCTAGCAGCTGGGATCCTTGAGTGATGTAGGAACACTACAATGATGAAATGACCTGCAAAATGGGTGTGGGCAGGGGGAAGATGACACTGCACCATGCCCTGAAGCCAGAGACATCTCATATGACTTAGCTATATACCCCAGCCTGCTGTATTCATAGACATGAGCATGGGTTTATTTGAGGGGAGATAATATTTTCTCTGTACTCATTTTATGCTAAGCACAGGATTGCAGCTGGAACACTCTTGACTGTACTTTCAGCTCTGAAGTGAACCATTTTACCCAAACATTCCATGCCATTTCTGTTTAGTCATCAAAATAAATTACAAGTTTGACTTCAAACCAAATTTTCCTGTATCATTAGCATTAATTTATATGAAATATATTCATGCAAATGGCAAGTCATACAGACCTTCATTGTTTATGACTTTCTACAAGTAAAGAAGGTATTTTCTTCTTTTTATTTGCTGTAATGTTTGCAATGCACTTAGGCTAACATTTTTTCATGAATCTTTTTCTTTTTATTAGCATGTAGAAAAGCAAATCCACACATTAATGGGCACTAAAACTAAGCAAGGAACCAAAATATCTGTAAGTGATTGAATTATCTGTCTGCTCTCCTCTGCCCCATGAACAGACATGATCATGCTGGATACTTCAGTATTGTGACTATCTCCATAAGTTATTCAGCCTTCTTTACTTTCTCACTTCTGAAATTAGCCTTTCCAACAGCTAAAGAACTTCTGTCTTTTCTACTCTCAGAAACTTATAAAACAGAACTGAATAGAAAACTAAAATGTTGGAGAAAAGAAACAAACAAACAACAAAGCAAAAGAAAAGGGAAGTTACAAGGGCAGAAGACTGGACTTCATAGCCTAAAGTTTCAAGTGCCATATTGATATTGAAAAGATCTATGGAAATGTCAGGATCCTTCTGCAAACTGTGGTCAGTCTCATCAGCTTCAGGAATGGTATTCTTATTGTAACCAAAGAGTTGAATGATGGTTGTTAAAAAAAGAGGAAGATAAGACAGTAGGTGGGTGAAAATTAAATGCACTGTGAATCTATTTTGAAGGAACCATCTCTGCTTTCAAATGTCCTGATTGCTTTAAGCAAACATCTGCATTGCATTTCTCACACAGACAGACCAAATCCTCTTTTTTTCCCAACATTTTGTAAATCAATTGAACAGGAAAACTGAAAAGAATTGAAGGGAATTCTTGCTGACTATTCCTATCAGAGAAATGGTCAGCAATGAGCGCTCGCAGGTGTGATCTTTCATCTTTGGAGAACTGGATATTTCATTGCATAGATTCAGTGTAATGGTGTAGAATATCAGACTTGGTGATTAAAAGTTTTGTGATGTGCTCACCAATATGAGCACAAGGGAAACTAATTTTTTCAGAGATTACCTTTGTCTCTTGCCCAGATCAGGAGAGCTGTATCCATATATATGTGTCTGTGTGTGTGTGTGTGTGTGTGTGTTTATCAAATAGTTGGAGGTTTTCAGTTGCCAGGAAACACAGCCATGGTCATATGCTGATAATCTGGAATATGTTGCATTTAGGGCGCTGTATTTATATATCACTGTGATTCAGAGTTTTTAATGAGCTTTGGAAGAGTTTGTAGCTATAGCAGTCCCTAGCTGGGGGACCCTAGTCCCCTAGCCAAACCTAGTGGTGTTTGTCAGCCCCAAACATGCTTAATGCAAATTCAGAGTATCATAAAGGAAGGTTCTTTGTCTATTTTTTTTTTTCTGCAGAGCACTACTAGAAATCTTCCACTACTGTTTTTAAAGGGAAAAAGTGCAGCTCCCCATCTCAGTTCTGGTTGCTTCCTTAGGCTTCCTTTGATCTAGGTTAATATTTTGGAAATGGCAATATCTCTCTGCCAGTGCTAGTGCAGAGAAATTCAGAGCAGCACTTGCATCTTCTAAAAGCCCACTGTCCTTGTAGCTATGCTGGGACACAAAGGGATAAACTACTGTATGTATGCTCCCCTTTTGGGCATACCTGGAAGGGCCACATGGAATCTGCCCATAATGGTGCTTTCAGAGGAGTCAGTGAGAAACTTGTGTTAGAGCTGTGGATAATGTATATTGGCAAAAAGCATTCCTTGTAAAAAATGGAGAAGCGATAGAGAACAGGATATGATCATCTCATTAATAACCTATCCAGGGCATGCAGACAGTGCTAAGATGCGAGAACAGAACTAA